TCGGTGACTCTAGACCTGGAAATAAGAACTAAATGCTATATGCCTGCGTGCCCCCTGCCCCCTGAATTTAAAAAAGTATGATTGTTGGTAGGTTAAGTGGCACATGCCTTCCTCTCTGCTGCTGTGTTTTTTATCCTGTCTCACAATACCCTCCCAAATGTCCTTTTCCTTTTGATTCAATCATGCTCTAGAACCTTCATGGCCAAGCTAAAGTTTGGGGCTCCTATTTCCCATGAGTGTATAGTGCTGGACCACAAAGACAACTTGTGTATTTATTTGTGGATATGTGGAACTCATCTCATCTTCCTCTCCTCTTTGTCTCTGCATCTTAAATGCCCTTTCTTGCCCCAGACATGATTATCTCTGGAGAACTCTTGAACGCTGAGTAGCAAAAAGAGCTTTACAGGTAAGAGGCATTAACAGCACTCACTAGCACAGGCCACGGCACAGAGCTTCTCAGAGCATTCTTGCAGTTAAGTGGACACTCAGCATAAGCATGTTGGAACCCCTCACAATACCTTCAGGTTCACCTTGTTAGTTGGGCAGCTTTTGAAAGAGGCTTGAAGAACCTAGAGAAACATTTAATTCCTGCCTGGGTGGAACGAACTGGTTTGCCCCTATTATTTCAAGCATTTGAGTATAGATTGGTGTTAAAATACCCAAGAAAATGCTAAACCTGGCTTTGATATGGTCACACATTTGGAGAGAAAGCAAGAGTACATGGAATAAAATCTTTGTTTTTGAGAGTCTTACTATATAGCCAGGCCTGTCTCAAACACAAATCCAGTGCTGGGGTGTGACACTCAATCCTAACACCCTTACACAGAGTGAGGAGATGGCACAGCCTGTTTCAAAGTTCCACAGCCTCCAAAATGTCTGAAGCAGCTTCTGCCGATGTAGAGTGCATACTTACTTGGTTGGCTGAAGGGTAGAGCACACTGACCTACCTGTAGGAAGACTCAATCACCCAGGCATTTTATGAGAGTTGTGGGAACTCTGCAAATGCATGTACCAGTTTAGTACACTGTACGATGATTGCAGTGGCTGCCACTGGCCATCATCTCAGAGGCCATCTTTTCAGACTTGAGGAGAGCAAGCCACCAGAGGAGAAAGAAGCAATTTAAGAGCACATAGGTTCTAGAGTGCCACATAATCTGGATTCCCAGGAACAGATTCTTTCCACGTGTCTCTCTGTGATGGACTGACCAAAACAGAACTGTACCAGAGGCCAGGCTGCAGAGCACAAAGAGCATACCATGGTCAATGTGAGGACATCACCCACTCCTTCTACCTGCATCTGCATCTGTACACCTCATTGATACTCTAAAATCACTCTTTGTAATGAACTCACCAATGAAAGCATCATGGAGCTAGATTAAGGCAGCCTTTCGAATAAACACTTGCCTAGTCCCAAACGTGACACATTTCAATAAAACTTGCTGTACAATTAAAACAGACCTTTCAAATTGTCTTTTCATTAGTAATTGCTTTCCATTTCAGGGTTGAAATAAGTGTGAGAATAAGTCAAATAATGTATCTTTAAGAAAAGGTCAAGTGTCATTTGAATCTCTCTCCCTTTGTCTTCATCATGACTTTTTATTTGCTCATTCTTCCTTGATGGACATGCTCACTCTGAGCTGGGTCTGGACCTATTTCAGGAGAGCTTTGTCTGTCTTACTTCACCTGTTCTTCTGCTGGTATCTTTGAACTGGATGCTGATCAGTGCTTTTATAAATATGATAAACTATTGTTTATTGTATTAAACATATAATAAATTACTATTGTCAAACTTGCTTACCCCTATGATGAGAAAATTGTGTATGTGCAAACATACACACATCTATCTGTCTGTCTGTCTGTCTGTCCATCTCTATGTCTATCTAATCTCCCCAAAGAGAAGGCTGGGGAGATGGCTTGCTTACTCCACAAATACAAGGACCTAAGTTAGGATCTTCACACACATGTAAAGCACACATGTCCCCAACACACAAGTATGTGTTAATGTAATTAGGGCTGAGAGGACAGAGACCGAAAATCACTGGAGCTCACTGCCCAGCCACCCTAACGGAATTGATGAGCTCCAAGTCTGGGAAAAAAAAGAAAGAACCAGCATCAACCTCTGGCCTCTACTTCATACACGTGCGTACACACACCCATACTCACATTTCACTCATCCACATATCCCCCACATGCAGACAAAAGATAACAAAAGAAAATAAGAAATACAATGTTTACCAAAGAACTGGCATTGTTATGGTAACCTTTTAACTAGGTTTAATTTCCTAGGAAGTGTGAGGAATATAGCTTCAGATTTTTTTTAAGACGTATTAAGAAGAGTTTAAGAATAAACCTTTTGAAACCAGGTTAATTCACTGAGGAAAGGGAAATAAGGAAAAAAGAAAAAGAATGTATATGTCTTAGTTAGGGTGTCTGGTGCTGTGATAGAACACTACAATCAAAGTATCCTCAGGAGGAAAGGGTGTGTTTCAGGGCAGGTACCCAAGGCAGGAACCTGGAGGCAGGAACTGATGCAGAAGCCTTGGAAGATGCTATTTACTGCTTCCTTCTCGTGGCTTATTCAGCTAGCTGGCTTTACCACCCAGGACCACCCATTCAGGGGTGGCACATCCCCCATGGGCCACCCACGTCAATGCTTAATCAAGAGAACTCTCTACAAGTTTGTACACAGGCTAATCTGGTGGGGGCACTTTCTTAATTGAGGGTCCCTCTTCCCAAATGACTCTAGCCTGTGTCAAGTTGGCAGAGAAACTGGCCAGTACAACATCTATGAACTGTTCATTTAAGTGTACACTGGAGTGTTTTCAGTCTCTTCTAGGATTTCCTGGAGCCCCATAGACTGTTATTCACCGTTCACATATGCATACACAAAAATACACCATCTATAAATAGCCATCTGCCTTTTCAGTGAAATTAAAGATGGGAGAGTGAGAAGAGATTTTTCTGAGTGGAATTACAGGGCTCAAACCTACAGCTGTTATATTACGATAGTCTTACCAAGAGAATTTTCAATATCACTATATTAAGTACATTTTAAAAATTAATAAATACTAAGACATTAAAAGCCCCCCACAATGCTGAGAGTTCTCACACACCCACTTACCAAGATTAGGTGTTGCAATGCATTGTTGTGTTTTGTTTTATAAAGTGCAGGAAAGTTTTCAGTGTTTTTGTTCCATATCTGGGGATTAACACCAAACTCCGGCCAATGTTTTTCTTAAACTCTCTATATGTGCTCTTTTGCAAACACTCTCCCTCACATAGTTTCTGCTAAAATGCAAGTTTTTAGGAACCCCCACTAAAATTCTTAGTAAAGGTTTGACCTTGACGGGCATCCTCCTGTGAAAGAAGTTAGCGCGGGGACTTTCTCCTAACAAGCACCGGTTAGTGATCTCTTCACAGGCTGTTTTGTTCCCTCATTAGAGACCAAGCCTCTGTAATCATTGGGAGCTCTGAAAGACAAGGCAGGGATATGTTCTTAGGAGCAGCCACAAGGCCTCCCTTGGAAAGGTCTAAGTGCCTGCGTCAGTTGTTTACAACAAGAAAAAAAGAAAAAGGGAAAGGGGGGGGGGGGGAAGGAGGAGAAGATCAAGTAGCAAGGTCCTTCCATTTGCTCTGAAAACAAACAGGCCATACAGATTCCCCATTGGAAGACATGGTTTTACCTAAAAGTTGCCATTTTATGACTGAAAAGTGGATAAAGAAGTGATTCAAAGTCACTAAGTTTTCTCTCCTTGCTGCCCAAATCTTCACCTATTAGAATGACCTCACACCCATTGTGATGTTAAGAACTCATAAAAAACAAAACAAAACAAACAAGGCTACTATGGGCCAGTGTCTAGCTAGTTGTCCTCCTCCTGGAGAGAACTGTCATTAGTTTTCATTCTTTCTGTTGGTAAAACACCGCCTGTGTGAGCCTGTTAATTAGAACAAAACCAGAACTGTTTCTGATATGCTTTAGAAGTACAGGCATTTTCAGCCGGTTATGGGATGGGAGACACAGCAGCACCGGCTACTTTGGGTACAATTGGGAATTGGCACCTTAATTAAACAAGAGGCAAGTGAAAAACTATCAAGGCTTAGAACCCAGAGTGTGAGGCTGCCTTGACCGGTTTCCCCAGGGCTACCCAGCCTCCTCTGATTCCAAAGTTAGCCTCTTCAAGAGCAAATAACAGCCAAGTGGCTTCTGAGGCCACCTCGGGGTCAGGCAGTAGTCTATTCCTGCCGGTTGCTGAGTCACTGCCCTCAGAGAGCTCTCAGCCTGCTTTAGTTTACCTAGAAGGTAGAGGGAAGGCTCCAGCTAAGTGTTCCACAAAGGTGACCACTGCTCTTATCTGGAAGCATCTACAAACTTTCCCTACCCCCTGCATCCAAAGTGTTTAAATATTAATAAATTAGATAAGGCCTATTAGCGCGCACACACACACACACACACACACATACACACACAAATTCCCAAAGAGGGAATTTGTCCTCCTTCAAACATGGGCTTACTCCGGCAAGGTTAGTAAAATCAGAGAGATGCAATGTACATTTGGAACCTCTAGTAGGTCCTCACAAGCTTCCCTGAAAAGGCTTAGAGCAGTGGCTCCCTACCTTCCTCATGATTCCACCCCTTAATACAGTTCCTCATGCTGTGGTGACCCCCAACCATAACATTATTTTCATTGCCACTTCATAAATGTAATTTTGCTAGTTATGAATTGTCACGTGAAATCTGCTATGCAGGATATCTGATATGTGACCCCAAAAAGGCCCAACCCTCATGTTGAGAACTGAGAGGTAATGTGGCTGAGGAGGCCATGGAGGGGAGTAGGAAACAGAAAACAAGAAGAAAACAAAGCCATAGGACAATCAAAGCTTTCAGGACCCTAGGCCACCATCCTCTTCTATGGGGGGACACACCCCATGACACACCTTCTTTCCACAATAAAGTTTTGTCCTTTGGTTTACTATCTCAGGAAGAGAAAATAAACATTCGCTTTATATTTTTTAAAAAATTTATTTGTGATCTGTACATGTGATAAAGTGGGGTTTCATTGTAGCTCTTTAAAGGCAAAACAAAACAAAAATCCAAAGTAAAAATGTATAAATACAATATATATTTTCTTACAAAAATGGGAGATTTACAAAATATACATACTGCACTGTCTCTATTTTACAAATTTCACATGCACTTAAGAGATAAAACACAAAAGATGCCAAACTTGTGTAGTGGCAGCTAGAAACAATCTAGTTTTTTTGAAAGTCTCAGAAATACAAGATCACTTTAAGAGCAGCTCCATTCAACTGAATGTGACATATATATAAAGTAATTTGTACTCATGACAGTACCCCCCTGATTGGAATTTAACAACTGCTCTGAGAAACTGAGCAGCCCTGCAAGACGGGAGGACAGTGTGAGAGGTGGAGTAAAGGTTAGCTCCCATGGTGCTCTGCTTAGCTTTACACAATCACGCCAAAGAACCAGACTTCTATTACAGGATGAGAAAGTATACGATTTAAGATTAATAAGTTTAAGTCTTCTAGCACATTTCAAAGAACTCCAGAGTCACTTTGAAGTGTACCTTCCTTTAATGACTTCCTGAACCTGGCACAAGCTCTCCTCTCCCTTCACGATGGTCCTTACACATCACCTCTTCACGCAACCAGAGAAAGGAAGGGTCAGCATGGGTTTCTCAGATTTGTAGGCAAAATGTTTTTAACTCTTTAACTTTCCCTTCCTTTTGATTCTGTCAGTATTATGCCTCTTCTTTAACTGTGAAGATTCAAACTGGATGGGGAGCCAGGTGTGGTGGTCCACACCCTTAATCCTACTTAACCCAGCATTCAGGAGGCAGAGGCAGGGGATCTCAGAGTTTGAGGCCTGGTCTACAGAGTGAGTTCCAGGATAGGGAGGGGATACACAGAGAAACTGTCTTGAAGAAAAAAAAAAAAAAAACCAACCAAACAAACAAACAAAAAAACCCAACGCCCCCAAACACCAACAATAACAACAAAAAAACCAACCCCCCAAAAGACAAACAAAAAACCAAAAGAAACCCCAAAAACACACACACACAAATTGGAAGGAAGGAGATGGAGACAAAACCCCCGAAACTTAGGTTTATGGGGGTGTGGAATGGAGGGAGATTTCATTAAGCTGTTTACCAGAGCCTGTTAGATCATGTGTTCTGAATTAAATCTGTTTAAAACAAATAACAAAACTCCTTGCATTTCCTTTATTCAAGTCAGAACCTTTGGCTGAATGGGTACGAAAGCACGGTGCCCTTTGCTTTTCCTTAAAAAGGAATGTTTATCTCAACCAAATTAACAACCGAAGGGAAACCGCAGATTTCTGCTGCTTTGCCTATAAAAGCTGCTGCCTTCACAGTTAAGCCTTTCCTCAGGGAGACACTTTTGTATCCCCCTTTGTCTCTTACAACAAAGACAAGGGGGAAATGCATTCCTATTTTGAAAAGCAACAAGTCATCTCTTCTTTTCAGGGTATGAAACCAAACAAAACATTCTTTTTCTTTCTGCCTCGCGCCTTCCCAAGAAAAATGAAAAAAGTAGCAGGACTATCATCTACCACTCATCTCCTTGGCCTCCTCTCGGAAATGTTAGCGTTCTCTTTCGCAGCTTCGCGTTACGATTCTAGCAGGCAGGCCTCCCCGGCCTTCCAAATGCTTATTTTTACCAGACTTGAAAGGAGTAGGGGAGGAAAAACAAGGCGGGAGGGGGTCGGGGAGGCGGACTGTAATGTCTGACCCTGGAAATTAACCCATCTGGGCTCCAGTTTGGCCCCAGTGAAAAGAGATTATGGTTTGACCACCGCTTGACAAGGGCACCACAGGGGGCCCCCATCTTCCCAACAAAGCACAGGCTGCAGACAGAACGCTATCTCCCCCTCCCCCGGCCTCACTGGAGTGAGGACAGCCACTTGCCTTGCAGCAGGGATTGGACTCAACCCTGGCTGAGCTCTGGCGCCGGGAAGAACTCGCCAGTCTCTGCTGAGGTCAACCTTTCCCTCAAGGCCCTAGCCGGCCTGTCTTTGACAGTTAGCACCATCCTGCAGGTCTTAGCGCCGGAAGTCTTTTCACCCACACTGCCTTTTTACTTTTCACTCAGGCCTCCTCTCAAAACCACCTCTAACCCCCAAATCTCTTCTCACCTCCAAATAACATCTCACTTCCATGTTAAAGCTCAGTGGAGGAGGGGGTAGCTTACAGAAACAAGTCCCCACCCAGCGGTTCTTTCCCTACCACGCCTCTCCTCCTCCAAGGAGGTACAAGAGGCAAAGGTGGGGGAAGGACCGGGGCTCATACCGCAGTCTCCCCCTTGCTGCTGTGGCTGAGTCTGTGGTAGAAACGACGCCATGACTGCAGGGTCTTGCCAGACCAGATCCAGAAGCCGGTGGTGATGCCCACGATCATGGTCATCAGGTACTTGATCATGAAGACTGTGAAGTCGGGGCTCATGGGCGGGAAGTGGCCCGGAGGGCAGGGCACAGCGTAGCTCTTGCAAGTCTGTAGGAGCCAGGTGCGCTCCCAATGCTCACGGAAGGCCTGCTCGTAAAAGTAGCAGGCCAGCACGATGGTGGCTGGCACGGTGTAGAGCACGCTGAAGACGCCGATGCGCACCATGAGCTTCTCCAGCTTCTCTGTTTTGGTGCCGTCGTGCTTCATGATGGTGCGAATGCGGAAGAGAGACACAAAGCCGGCCAGAAGGAAGGACGTACCGATGAAGAGGTAGACGAACAGGGGCGCAAGCACGAAGCCCCGCAGCGCATCCACACTAGAGAGGCCCACATAGCATACTCCACTGAGTAGGTCCCCGTCCACCTGGCCCATGGCCAAGATGGTGATTGTCTTGACCGCCGGCACAGCCCACGCGGCCAGATGAAAGTACTGCGAGTTGGCCTCGATGGCCTCGTGGCCCCACTTCATGCCAGCTGCCAGGAACCAAGTGAGGGACAGAATGACCCACCAGATGGAGCTGGCCATGCCGAAGAAGTAAAGCACCATGAAGAGGATGGTGCAGCCCTCCTTCTTGGTGCCCTGCGCCACCGTGCGGTAGCCATCGTCCGAGAAGCGCTCCACGCACACGGCACGGTCCTCTAGCAGGAAGCCCGCCACGTGCGCCACAGCCACCATGAAGTAGCAGCCCGACAGGAAGATGATGGGTCGCTCTGGGTAGCTGAAGCGCCGCATGTCCACTAGGTAGGTGAGCACTGTGAAGAGCGTCGAGGCGCAACACAGCACCGACCACACACCCACCCAGAGGCGGGCGAAACGCCTCTCCTCCTCTTTAAAGTACATAAGGCCGTTAGCACGGCCCGGCTCGCATGGGGCACCGCAGTCGCGCTCACCTAGGAAGCGGTAGCCCAGGTAGGGGGGCACTTTGAGCTGGCGCGGGCACGAGAAGGGGAAAGACCACCGGCCTCTGCCATCTTGGGGGGGCATGGCAGTGAAAGGCGGGTCTGGCAGGTAGGGAGCAGTAGGGTAGGCGGTGGGGCCGCCGCCCGCGCCCCCGGAGCCGTCGGACGTGTTCTGGCCCACGCAGATCTCGCCGGCGCCGTGCACCGGGAAGTTCTCGCAGCGCAGCCGCTCAGGCCACTGGAAGCCGAACTTGTTCATGAGAGCCTCGCAGCCTTGGCGGGCGCGCTCGCACAGGGAGCGGCACGGAGGAATGGCTTGGTCGAGCACCGTGCATACGGGCGCGTACATGGAGCATAAAAAGAAACGCAGCTCGGGAGAACACTGCACCTTCACCAGCGGGTAGAACTGGTGCACCTCGAGGCCGGCGTCCTCTTGGTTCGTGTGGCCCAGCAGGTTGGGCAGGATGGTCTGGTTGTAGGCGATATCCGTGCACAACGGGATGGAGATGGGCTGGCAAAAGCCGTGGTCGGGTACCGAGATGCCCTTCTCGCCGTGGTACGGTTGAGCCCGGGAGCCCGTGGGTAGCGCGCCCAGAAGCGCCAGCACCAGGGCGCACAGGCCCAGGGCCGAGTGCGACGCCGCAGTGCCGGGGCCCCGCATCGCGGGCCGCGAGTGCAGTGGCGTTCTCAGCTGGAGGAAAAAGACGAGGCGCTGGGGAGCGGCTTCGATGCAGGGAGGCGCCGCCGCGCCCGGCGCATGAGAGTCCTCCCGGCGCCGGGGCCGGGCCGTGGGCGGCGCGGAGCCGAGGGCGCTAGGGTGCCTGCACGGCGGGGGCGAGGCCGCCAGCCGAGGGGGCGCCGCAGCCGCCTCCGCGTGGCACTCACGAGGCCGCCGGGGACTCAAACTCCTGGGCCTGGGCTGGGGGATCGGGGGTAGGGTGTCGCCTTACCCTCCCCGCCGAGACGTAACGGTGCGGCTTTCTCTTCGGCGACGGGCTACAAGCGTCTCCGGTTACCTTTCAAAGTTTGCTCAAGTCTCTCGAGCCCCGGGCGCACGGCGATGCCCACGTCCCCCACACCGAGGCGGGCCTCCGCCAGATCAGAGCCCCGCGTCTCCGCCTGCTCGTCCGGGCCGCCGCCTCGGCGGTACAGCTCCGCCTTCTCGCCTCGAGGCCCCGCGGGCGGCCGTCTCCTCCTCCAAACCTCGAGCCTCCTTCAGCCCCGGGAAGGTCGGCCCCAAGTTTCAGTCAAACGTTTGGTTCTCAATTTGAGTCCGATCGGTGCCCAGGAGCTAAGAGCTGGGCGAGTTCTTTTTGGAAACCCAGTTGCGCGGAATTATAAGTGCCAAGGCTCCTGCACCCGCGGCCTGTCTGCGCCTGGCCTCTCCTGCCCGAGCAGTCCGGGCTGGCTAGTGCCCGCGTCCGCCGCCGCCCGCCAGGGAAGGAGCGCAGAGTAAAGCCTGGGAGCCGCGCTGGTGGCTAGAAGAAGAGTCGGGCTCGCAGGGTTTTGGGCCGCCCCGCCCCCTCCCCTCCCCCCATTCACAAACCACTTCGGGGGCGGGTCCCGAGCCCTCCGGAGGTCCAATGGCGCGCTTTGTTTTCTCTGTAGACGCCTTCCGATTGGGTGGAAGTCGGAAGGGGCGGCCGAGGGAAGGAGGAAGGCGGTGCCTGAAGCGCTCTGGGCGGATTCCTGAGGGGAGGGGCGGGGGACTGGGAGAGAAAAGTTAGGAGAAACTTTTACCCAGAATTGGCTCAGGGGAGAAGAACGCACCAGAAAGGGAATTTGCTTGAGAGATTGGTTCCTCTTCCGGGTACCCCAAAACACACATTCCTGAGCAGAAGGGCGCATTCGCCAAAGGCTTCAGCGAGAAGCTGAGAATAGCGCAGCGCTTGGGCGGAGAGACGTGACCCAGAGTCACGTTAGCCTTGCCTGGCTGGCTTGGGCGGGAGGCTTTTGGTTAGCATCACTGTGGGTCGGGAAGGGGGTGCAACTGAAGATCGCTCTTTTTCTCCCCATACTCCCAACGACCACATGAAGCCACAATCCCCTCTCCTTCCCTCAGTTACAAGGACGGGGGCCTCCTGGAAGGAGAAACCCGAGTCGGCAGAGGTGGGGACTTGTGGCGGGAGGAAGTGCAGACCCTCGGAGGAGAGGGCCAGGAGCTGGGGGTGTGCGGGACTCAAGAGCCAGCCACCCCGCCCGCGCACGGTCGGGAGCCGAGGGAGCCCGGGAGGTTGGGGGTGGGGTTGGAGGACGCTAAGGCAGCTCTGGGGGAATGCTTATGAAAGTAACCTGAGACCGAGTGCCCCGGAACTCTCCGTACGATTTACTGAGCGCCTTCGGTTGCCCTGTTTCCCCTTCGTTCTGTGGTGTGTGGCCTTCTGGGATCCCATCTCCGTTGCAGAAACAACCATTTGATCTTTCCATTTGGAATCTACATAGAAAAGTTTTAATGCGTGTTAGAAACCAGGGCATTTGCTAATTAAAGGGCTTTCGAGACACAAAGAGGGGTTATTTTCCTTCTGGGGTAGCGTTTTCTGATTGGCAAGCATTCTTTTGTTCTCGGTCAAATCTTAACCCTGCTCCAAGCACTGGGCACTCGTGCGCCTTGTCTGACTGCCCGGGACGGGTCGGAAGTTACCAAGGGACCTCTGCCCTCTCAGAGGGGTCAGCAAGGAATATCATGAATATTATGAATTCCCGTGCAGGGAAGTGACAAGTTGAATTGTTGAATCTTTCTGTTGTCCCTGCAGTCTTTTTAAAAAACGTTATTCCTGGCTGTCTCAGTTGGTTGCTGGTGCTTGAGAGATTTTTGATCAGTTTGAATGTTGAACGCTGGCAGAAGTCACTGCCTCCAGGATACAGTTTCTCCATCTAGGAAAAAGCTGATTCGGAAGCCTAAGATAATTGGATTCCCTTTTCTAGCAGACTTGAACTTCTTGTAATTTTCTTTTATTTACTTTATCTCAGAAGTTTGCTGAGATCTTTCCTTCCACTTTAGAGTTCTTTTGTGTTCCCGTTAATGAGTCTAAAGAGCAGAGCCCCTTGAAACAAGGCAGCCTATCAGACAGTCGACACCTCCCCCCCACATCTGGCCTGCAATAGAAATCACCACTTTCCTTCTTAGCATCAGTTTACCCTTCATACCAGATTTTTACCTCAAAGCAATAAAGATGAATAGACAACATATTCCTTTTTTAAAATGTACTTTCTTCAAGGCTTCTTCTGCATTCTAAATCAGTACTCTTATTACCTACGCTGTGCTGTGTTGATATTTTTTGGGAGATGTTTAAGGCATGGGAGCTGTTTTGCTTTGTCATTGAAAGTGTGGGTGGTGGGGCTTGGATTCCTTTCTTCTCCCCATGAGGTTCAGGGAGTCCTCCCTTTTTAAATCAAAGTTTCATGTTTATTCATCAGGCCATTGACCTAACTCATCTCTGCTTATCGAGGGACGAATACCAAGCACTGACGTCAAATAAAATGAAAACTGACAGGACAGAATGCTGCCTCAAATGCAACCAAACCCAGTTAGCTGATGAGCTGCTCCTCCTTATGGACCCAGACAGCTTCTGATGTCAGGCAAAGGGAGTAATGATTTAGGAAGAGGGGTGGGTGAGCCAGTATAGAAGAAGGAAGTGCAATATTTTTAAAGTGATCTATATAGGAGGTGCAGGAAACCCATCCTAGACAGGACGGTTACAGCTATGACTTCTTTAGCTCTGCCCCAGGCAGATCAGTGCAAAAGCAGTAGAGAAGGAAAGGTAGAGTTTAGGAGCTGGGGTGGGGAGACTGTTTTAAAAAAATGGTTTAAAACAACAGCACCAATACGAAGTCTGGGCTTGGGGCAGTAGCTCAGCATTGAGCAATTGCCTTGCGTGTGAGAGGCCCTAGATTCAATCCATTATATTAGAAAAACCAAACCAAATAAAATATCTCAATCCAAAATTACTTCAAGGAAATATGAATTGACTGTGCCGGGTGTAGTGTTGAATGCCTTTAATCCCAGAACTTGGAAAGGCAGAGGCAGTTGGATCTTTGTGAGTTCAAGGCCAGTCTGATCTATCGAGTGAATTCCAGGACAATCAGAGAACTACGTAGTGAGGTCCCAATTCAAATAATACCCCCCCCCCAAATAAAAAGAAAGAAAAGGACTACTGCTTGTGAGGGGTGATGCTGTAACTTTCTGTGCTTGCCTGATGTCAAATGTTGTGATAAAACAAACAAAAACAAAAATGCTTACGGGGGGTTAAGGAGCTATGTCACAAAGGAGTAGACCAGAAAAGGTAAGTTCACAATGGAAAGAGCCAAGTCTGTTTGGGCTCTCTGGCAAGTGTGCAGTATTGGTTTACATTCTCCCCAGGATTAATTTTCTTTCCAAGCAATACCTCCCACACCCAGCTCCCAAAGCCTCTTACTGGTATCTTCTTTGGAAAACCAGGGGTGGAAAATTTTGTAACTGTCTGCTGCAAAACTTCCAATTGTCCCTGCCCTTTAAAATAACAAAGGCCTTTATTTCTTCATATCATAGTCATATATGGCCCCAAAGAAAGTGGTGGTAGTCATTAGCTCCATCTCTTCAAGTGCTACTTATTTTGGCTAAGCCCCAGGTTTATCTAGCTGAATTGCATTCTAATGTCAGGGCAGGTTTAGAAATGGTCACATGGTGCCACAGTCCTGTGGTTGTAATGAAACTCTGGCTGCAAGAACTGGCCATGAAAGCCCAGGAAGGGCATCTTGGAACACCACTTCTCTTTCTGACTTCCCTTTTGCCAGACAGTTTTGACATTATAGCACTGAAAATTTGGAATTGCCAACTTGCCATCAACTTGTGTTCCTCTTGGTTTAGCATGTTGGCTTGTTTTCCACTCAGAAGGGAATATTTTTATCTGTAAAGTACTTTCAAATGCTATGGAAGTTAGACATTCCAGACTGAAGAAGAGGAAGGCCATTCTGCAATGGTGATCATATTTGGCATGTGGGCAAAGATGATTATACAGCAGACTCAGTTACCAAGTCTGTTGAACCAACATTTTCTTCCTTGGTCAAGAGTTTTATGAGTTATTTATTGTTGTATAACAAGTAGTCACCCAATTCAGTAGCTTAGAAATAACAGATACTTGGTATCTCACAGTTTCTTAGTGTCAGTAGCTTAGAAATAACAGATACTTGGTATCTCACAAGCTTATGGGCTCACTTAGCTTGGCATGGCTTAGTCTCTATCTCCTCATTGCAAGCAGGGTGTTAGTCTTGACTTCACTGAAGGTCCCACTTTCAAACTCCAATGGCATCTGGCCAGGCTTCAGGTGGTGGCCAAAGCCATCAATTTCTCCTCATTCATACCTCTCCTCAAAACAAGAAACTTCCTTCAAAGCAAAGGCTCAGAAGGGGAGAGAGCTTGTGAGAGCCGGAGTGAGAGGAAGAATGCCCAAGACTGAAGTGACAACCTGTGATTTTTGCCATACTGTATGCATTAGAGGAAAGTCCCTAGATTGGCCTCACTTGAGGCAATAGGGATTGCAGTAAGGTGTGGAGACTCATGGGAATGGAGGGATGCTGGTGGCCAGGTCCTTCCTGTGTAGGTCAAGTTGAGGAAACGGAAAGAAACAGGTTCTCAGCTGCTGACCCTGAAGTCTCAAACTAAGAACACAGTGTTGACTGGCTACAGCACCACTTGCATCAGGACAGAACCCTGCTCTGGAGGACTTTTTCCAAACCACATCTTTGGGCAAAGGGAAAAGGAATGTCAAGAAGGTTGCCTCATGAAAGGCCATCAGCCATTCTGGGGGCAGCAAGTAAGATCACCCGAGGGGATCACATTTGCAGAGCATTGTGAACAGTCTAAGGGAGACTTGGGCCAGCTGGGTTACAGGTGACAGCACAGTGGGTCATTGCTACCTGCTTCTCTGCCACTCTGTGTGGTGCTAAGGTGTGGGAAGAGTGTGGAGGAGGCCAGTGCAGACTGACTTAGTTGTCTTTTTCATAACCGATTTCCTGTCCTGCCCCAGGGATGTACGTCACCTAGCCTTCCCAGCTCCCTCCAGGGTGTAGAACGGATTAGTGTAAAATGCTTGTGACCTATGCACAAGAAAATCATCAGGACAGCACTCTGGTTTGGTTATATGCTGCATTAGATGAAATACAGGGT